AAGCAGTGTGGAGATTCCTCAAAAGTGTAAAAGGGGTTCCTTTTGACTCAGCTATACTTCTTCCTGGTACCTTCTAAAAATAATTGAAAGCATCATATCACAGTAATATATGCACACTCATATTTAGAGCAGCACAGCTTGCAGTAGCTAAGTCTTAGAAACAACCCAAATGCCCATTAACTGATGAATGGATAAAGAAGTTGTGGGTTTTTAAAAAAATAAATGGAGTACTATTTAGCCATAAAGAAAAATAAACCTGAGACATTTCAAGGTCAACGAATGCACCTTAAGACCATAGTCTTAAGTAAAATAAATCAGACACCCAAGTGTAAATATCACATTCTTTGGTATGAGAAAACAAAATTGTAAATAAGGGAACAATGTATAACAGACATTGTAATATAGGACAAAATGTTGAAATGAGAAAGGAACTAGGAAGGGGGTAGGAGGAAAGGAAAGAAGGGAAAAGAAAAGCAGCAAGAAAATAATGAAAAAATGGAAAAGTTTTTGCAAATAAGAAGAAGGACTGGAGGGAAGGGGTGGGTAGGAGAATGGGAAAAAAGGAAGAATCAAGAGATAACATGCACAGATACAAATTCCCTACAACGAATGTGATCATTATGTATATCTAAAATGTACCAATATTCCCGGTACCGGAGAAAAACCAAAAAAAAAGTCAGTCAGGCCACTTAGAGTCAGACCACTGTGGTAAGAATTTCCACAGCAAGAAAAAAAAAAAAAAAAAAAAAAAAAAAAATTCCATAAAATGTACCAATAAAATAAATTAGAAAATATTTTGAAGCATAATTGCAGAGTATCAGGGTCATGTAACTGTTCATTTTCTGAGTGAAGCAGTGATATTTCCAAAGAGGATATTTTAGGGGGAATGGCTTTCAACATTTTTATTATTGGTCTGAAGATCAGAGACACAAAATCTATAGCTATCTACCCCTTATACTGAGTACTGTAGTACCATATCTTCAATTGGTTAAAATTGGAGTTATCCTAATCAATGCTTTCATTCATTTTTTTGGGCTAATCCTCAGCATGCAATATGATGCAAGCAAAATTTCCAAAAGAAGAAATCATAGTTTCATTAGAGGATGGAAAATTACTTAAAAAGTAAGTAGCAGGATATAGTTTATAGTCACTGCATATCAGGTTGTGGCTTGTTTTGAAATAAAAAAAATCACTAAACTACTGTCTTCAACATATCCCTAAATACAGAGGTACCTCAGCTCATTCCATGACTCTGGAGAAGATGGCCATGGGCCTGTTTATCACATGATATGGAGTTCCCAATTAGAAGCAAAATATTTATGAACACCTGTTTGCAAACCAAACTGCTAGTGAACAGAAGCATTCGTGAAAGGAGGTACTACTCTACTGAAATGCAAAATAAACACACAGCCTTGCAATGGTTGGGGACCACAAATTGTAAATTGGCACAGCATCTGTCCTATGGTTCTCACCCTGCTTGCCTTGTGGAGTGGCTTTGGAATGTGGAAATCACTTTTCTCTCAATCTGAGATTAGCACGCAGCTGTGGGGATGGATCTTGGCTTGTTTCGCTTATGATGTTAAACTTACCCATTTTTACCACAGTCTCTGAGCTGTTCCAGGAAAACATCCTACTTCTTCCCTACACTGGCTGGCTAATGGCTGGCTTAGGGTGTCTTTGTCTCTGCCCATCCCCAAGTCTTAATATCCCAGCCCTCCATCATGCATGACTAGATTTGCCTGTTTCTTATTTCATGCTTTCACTGTACCCCTCACAAAGGCAGTTGTGGATCTTGGCCATGTCCCCCATATGCAATACCATCTATTTATTTTACTAACAGAATATTTTAGTATGATAATAAACATCATAATTATGTAAATTCATGGTGTTATTTTGACAGTTTCACACATTCATATATAAGGTGTTCATCTTTTCCACTCATATTCTTCTACCGTCACCTGTCTTCTTTTTGGTTAATCAAAGACTTTATTGGATAAATGTTATACAACAGTCTTCAATATTTAACTCTGAGCATACTGAGGAAGAAAAACTATTTTTATCATTCAGGTTTACAAAATAAACTAGGCTTATGAAGATTTGAAATACAAACAACAGGCATAACTTAATATCAAGCAAAGAAAGAAGCTAGGTCTATTGTAATGCAGACTATAAATGCGCTAAGATATTCCATGAAATCAAACCTCCTGTTATACATTACATTCATAAGCTAGGCAACATCCTTCTGGTAGACAGGACAGCATGTTTCCTTCAAACGCTCCATGTTGTAACCCCTCAGAAGCCTGAGTTACAATAGGTCATTTTAAATCTACAGAGCCATGTGTGATAGATGACCACTGAATAATTGAGCAATACCTATGCTTGGCTTATGCACAATTAGCTCTTCATGAGCAGCCATGTGGCATTCACTCAGGATCTCTCTAGGAAATCCATGAGCTATTTTTCTTATTGCTATTTTGAGTCAGAACTCCCCTAACCTCCTCTTGTTTTGGTGGACCATGAGCTCAGTACATATGGTAAGAGTATGTTAAGAGCTGGTAACACTGCATTTCACTGTCCTCAAAAGGGCCCTTTTTAGATGGAGCTGGTGCGCTAAAGGCTACTGGTATGAAAGTAGCCACGAGATGGACTGAGGAACAGTGCAGAAGCGAAGTAGCAAAGAACAATGCAGTGCATTCCACAATTAACAGCTCCAGCTGTTATCTCCAGCATAAGAGATCCATTGTTTGTTTATCTTTTTTCTCTTTAAAATAAAAACAAGGAAAAGGACTACTCGTTCATACACTTCCTATAGGTGTGAACAGCAGTGACTGACATTCTAAATAGGCATCAGTCACCTTCAGGTGGACTACTAAACCTCTTTAACCCACCCCTTCCAGAAAACCCATCCCTTTCTTGTCCCATCCAGGTGCACTTGCTACATGACTTGCATCCCAATTTGACCTGCATTTAATCAGTATCACTCAAGGGACTATACTTGTTGTAACCTTACTGGTTCACCATAGTTTTATCTCTCCTCATACCCAACTTGAAATTTCCCATTAGATCACAACACTTAGTGACTATACTTTCAATCTTAATGACTGACTATAGTTCTGTTTATAGTTCTGTTTATAGTTCACACCTTAAACCTGGCTCCCCTCAGGGCTTTGCTCAATAAACACCCTTGAGAAGCAGATTAGTGGGCAACCCACTCTCTGGCCCCCTTCTGTCCCTCTCAGCCAGAGGCTTTCTTGTTCTTGATAAATTCTTCCTACTCTTAAACTCCCTGTTTCCCAGAATTCATTAATCAGTTTAGGAGAACATGAACTCAGCGTTTTGGACATCTAGCAAGTTGGCAGTTACATTTCCCCCATATCATTTGAATCCTCCACTTTAGAGGCCCCTGAAGTACAGAGCAAACAATGGTGAAGGTTATCACAAGGCTCATAAACTAGCCCACATCTGCTACCTTCTTACACATGATTACCATTGCACACTATCTGGTGATACTACTGTCCCAGCTCATGGTCAGGAGACCTGCATTTTCCTATCTCATGCTTGTTGAATACTCTACATACCTGGTGAATCAGCTCAACCTAGAGTATAGACTGTCATGGTTATCCTGAGAATTCTGTGTAGTGGGAAACTGGACTGCTATGTGAAGTAGGACAGAAGGCTCTTTGAAACTGGTTATTCAGGAAAACTGCTCTGGGAGTATGACGGATTAAACAGTTGTGTGTGATGTTGGGTTTGAGTCATGTTTACAGAATAACAAGCCCAAGTTTAATAGTTAAGAAAACTTATATATCAGCTTAAAAAAAAAAAAAACAAATTCCTATCTTCTCATCACTCGCAGGGAGGTTGAGATAACTTTGTTAGGCTGAGATAGATATTGCCTGTGATTTTACTTGTAACACCTGAAATACATTTCTCACTGACTGAGGTGCGTGCAGGAGGAGGATTTGTCGGCACACTGGGCCCTCCCCTAAACGCCGGTCTGTTGTTGCCTACTTTGCTGAAGCACCGTGCAATCCAGTCTTCAAAACTATCACTGAAAGTCACATAATAATCACATAATGGTGTTAAAAGTTCACAATCTTATGAGGCCTCAGGACTAGCTGCCAAAGATTATGTCTGGGCCACTGGTCATGAGCTGGACATGCCTGCTTTCGATGTGACTTTTAGCAGAATTTAATCAGCCAGTATCGAGCAATTTCTTCATTGTTCCATTGAAACACTTGGACATTCTTAGCTAATGTTTCGCTTCCATCAATCTGTATGCTAAATTTTCAAAGGATTCAAAGATTGTGTGGTATCAGTGCATGATAGTTGACATATTTTTCAACTTTTCTAATGTAGGCTATTTCCAGGTTTTCTGGTGATGCTATCGTCCAGCTTACTGCAGGGTATCCTGCATTTTCCTACCTCATCCTGGTTGAATTCTGTAGTTCCTTGTTGAATCAGTTTATTGACAATACTAACAAGTACTGTAATGTATGAATTCTGGAATGAGGTAAAAATTATTTAAAAGCTTCCTTTTTGACTGCAGGCTACTCTTATCAAAAAAGAACATGTGACGTATTTGTCAAGCAAAGATGTGCTCTACTCCCTCCTCCCAGTGACCCCTACACCTGACTCTGAATCATCTTTTCAGCCTGCTTCCTTTCTCGGGACCCTGCCACTCCCACCATGAGACCTGATTCCCCTGTCCAGGAGCTGTGATGGTTGAGCTGCAAGAGGGTCCGCCGTTGGCCCTTGCTTACCCTCTCAAAAGTGCTTCCCTTTCCAGGCTAAGGATGATGAACTAAATGCGGTGTATTTTCTCACTGCTGCAGGGCTGGAGTGACAGTGACTGATCCATATCTGCCACCAGAGCCTGTCACTGGTACCATTCCCACCCTCTGAAATAGCTTTTCCCACAGGTCTCCAGCCAAGTCTGTTTTAGCCATAATGAGACCAAAATAAACACACCATACATAACAGAAACAACACAAAGCAAAAATTTTTAGCAAAATCAATTTTCTTTTCACAAATCTGATGTTTTTTAGGTCCTTTCTCTTCTGGATAGGTCGACTCAAGTCAAGCTGTGAGAGTTACTAATCAGCATGGCTGGACAAGGAGGATGTGTTGGAACAGTAGTGCCTGAGAGGTCTTCTGCATCATTTTCCACAGAAAGGAGTTTCTAGCAGCAGTCAGGACAGTGTGTTCCCTGTTAGTATTCATCAGCATATGGACACTCAGGGTGGCCCTCAGTGCTGTAATTAGAAAACAATATGTAATATGGTCTTGATGAATCCATTTATCCAATGGTAAAGGAGTAATATGTATGCATACTTAAAACTGTGAAAGTTAACAACAGTTTTCTGACTGCTTGTAAAATCTGCCATTTGCTTTTTGTGAACATACTTTAACAGAAAAAACATTTAAGTCACAACATAATTTTCCAATTATATTTTCTGACTATAGCCACACATAGGGAAAACACAAAATCAAGTACTTACATATGTATTCTTCTATATTATTCTAAGCAGAAAACAACAAATAAATTCTTTCTGACTTTGAATTCTTAGTGAAAGTACAGAAGGAATGTGTAATGTTTATAACAAGTCTTAATTTATATATCGATAAACACAACAAATATTTTAGGATACACAATTGACTGCTAGCACTTTCACTTCTATTTTTCTTATTCAACTTTTATTTCCCCATAACACATCACAAATACCATATTTGTTTAGAATCAGTAAGGTATGTAAAGAATGTTATTTATAACAACCTTCACCTTTGTGGATCTTGCCATAGAGTTTTTAGATTTCTACATTTTGAAAACAACGCAAGATATAAAGTGATAGAAATCATTACTCATTGAGATAGTTAATAAGGAGTAAGAAATACTGATTGTCACACTGTCTCTCTTAAATACATGTTCCTACTTTTTCTTTCATTGTTCCTTACATTAATAGCAGTATTAGCAAGGATAGCAAAGTATATGTTGATTGTGGAAAACATGTGAGTACAGATTGTCTAATCCCCTTTCAAACATTATAGCATGTATTTCTACTAGGAGTTAAAATTCCCACAAGTTGAAGGAATATATATTCTTTGTTTTGATAAGTATATGCAAAATCAGAATCTCTAGCCATACAGCATGAAGGAGTAGTGAAGCTCTTCTGATGACTGCAAAATCTTTTCAGCAGCACAGTTTTTCTCTGCCTATACTTCCATTGGTTTTGAATTTCTCTTCTAACTCTGCACAGTATATAGTGTTTTAAACACTGTAAACCGAATGTTGTACTGACCACCATGAGGGCAGCTTTCTGAGAGGTAAACACAGTGTCCTGACCTAACATTCACTGATAAAGGTGGGAGTAACTTGCAACTGAAATAAAATAAGGCAACATGTGGTTCAAAATGACTCACAACTTAGCAGGAAGATATCGCAAGTTTCTGTCCAGGGCATCTATGGCTTTCATGTCCTCAGGAGTCAACTGGAATTCGAAGACCTAAAAGAAAACAGGGCACTTTCAGTATATTTTAAATGGCTATTTGCATTTGAAAGAAAATT